AGAGCAGATCGAAATCCCAGTAAATTGCTTTCTTTATTACCAACAATTCCTTAATGGTGTAGATGGCAACCCATGCACAGTAACTTTCTCCTTTCATAACTCTGCTTTGAGGTCACCTTAAAGTCAAGATCATCTGGACAGTACATGATCACACTTGCTTCCAACAGAACTAAGAACACATGTTCCGTCCATATGGTCTACAACACATTGGCAATTAACTCAACTGGAAAGGAAAAATAAAGGACAGGAAGGTTATCTAAACATCTGCTACCTGCCAGATGAATTAGCCTCATTCCCCTTGAGGAAACATGACATCATTAACCACGAGCTCTGCATGTCATAACTTCCACCTGCAACTGCCCTTGTGACATAAGGCACAGAATCTTAAAGCTCGAGCTCAGATATGGTCAAGAAACAAATATTCTGTACGTGACAAGAATGAACTGTACGAGATAAAGTGAGAAACTGTGGCTAAAGACTTTCATAAATATAAAACCTGAATGTTCTTTACTGAATGCATTGATCTAACAGAACATAAAATTCACAGCTCAAAGAATGCTTAGATTTCTTTTAGTTGAAGAAAATTATCCTTACTGACCAATCTTAGTAGTGATGTGCAAAATCTCACCAGGAGTGGCAGAAATTTTTAACACTTTCTGGAATTAATTACTTGCTATTAGATTGGATTGCTATAAAAATTCACAAGTATTATAGCAGTTCCCAAAGTTGACGTGTGTGTTTGTTTAAAGTAAAAAAAAAACTTCACTTATCACACTCTCAATTTTTAAGAAAAGAAAGGAGACATGGCTAACAATAAATGTGAAATCTTAGAGGATGGATTGCAGTGTGGCAAAGGCAAGTGGCATTATGCTGTCAACCTCTTGTCTTTATTCTGCTTGTGATGATCTGATCAGAATTGTGTGTTTTCAAGCTAAAGTGGCCGGCAAGCCACGCTCATATTCTGATGGATTATGCCTAATCTACATCACTTCACAAATGTTATTGTAATATTGTCAACACGTACCTTAATATAGCATTACACACAAGACATCTCATAGTAGCATAAACAGATACTCCTTGACACTGAACCAAAGAATAGGTAACTAAACTCTTGTCAAAACCAGCAGATTCAGTGACTAGAAAGGAAAGGGTAAATTGCTATCCATTTGTTTGGTCATCAATAGCATTAAAAACCAACTGAAGAAAACAGTAAACATAGTCACCATCTAAAATGACTTGTTTATTGCTGTTCATGATATTTGTAAATTTGGCTCAGTTGACACTAGACATATGGGGTAAGTGGAAGAATTGAACTCAAGCACTGCTCCAGAATTTGAAAGCGATATGTATTCTAACATTCTAAAGGAACAGTGTAATTCCGATTGAGGCTGAAGTAAGATCTAATCTGTCTGGTCTGGTGGTTCAGTTTTTGAGTAAAGGATAATTCACCTATAATCCTGGTCGTTCACTCAAACTGGACTCCAAATGAAAGAGATAAATTGATCATTCACGTATCATTTAGAGGATACTATTGGAATTGAGATGTTTGCTGCGATTGCATATATATAAATTACATAATTTCAGAATAATTATTTGTTCTTACTGCACCACGTATATGTAAATCCTGTTATTGAACACCAGATACAGTTTGTTTTAGACTGTCAACAGACTAAATATACTGTTTCTCATGATATAATGATTTGCCTATTTGCCCATCGAATTCATAGTGACCCTCCAAAGAGCATCACATCTAGACCCACCCGACCCACCCTATCCCTGTAACTCTACATTTTCCGATGGCAAATACAGCTAGCCTGCACAACCCTGGACAATTTAACTAGGCTTATCCACCTAACCTGCACTTCTCTATGACTATGGAAGGAAACCCACGCAGACACGGGGAGAATATCCACACAGTGGCCCAAGGGTGGAAAGGAACCTGGGTCCCTAGCGCTGTGAGGCAACAGTGCTAACCACTGAGCCACCCAATAATCTAGCTGTTTAGGATGTTATAATTTGGAGGTAATACATTGCATTGTGAAAGTCAAGCAGTCGAGAAAACACCACAGGTGGCGTTTACCAATAGGTAGAATTCTTGCTGGCTTATAAAACAAATTATTTACACTATTACAGAGAGGATGAAAAATCTTTAATCACATAGCAGCTCACAGAACCAAATAGGGTACTTCCTTTTATGTCATTCTGCGTAACTATTCAACAGTTGAAGACTCTTTAAAATCCATATAATATAAATTTCCCAGTACTCAACATGAAGTGACAGGACACCAACGACCAAACTTTTGCAGCACCTGAATGACAAGGACAATGGTGACTCAACTGGGCCAAAATGGTGAGATCAGAGAAATTAGATTCTTGACATTGAGAAAAAGTGTTTGATTTTACTTGATTTGATTTGATTTATTGGAGTCACATGTACCTATGTGCAGTGAAAAGTTTTGTTTTGTGAGCAGTACAGGCAGATCATAGCAAAAGAGGACATACAGATCATAGAGTGCTTAGACAAAACGATGCATACAAGGTTATGGCTGCAAAGGAGGTACACAAAGCAAGATTAACATTATTTGAAGTTTGAGAGATCCATTCAGCAGTCTAATAACAGCAGGGAAGAAGTTGTTCTTGAACCTGTTGGTAGGTGTGTTCAAGCTTCTGTATCTTCTGACTGATGGAAGAGGTTAGAAGAGAGCGTTACCGGGTTGGGAGGGGTCTTTGATGATGTTGGCAGCCTTTCTATGGCAATGAGAAGTGTAAATGGAGTCCACAGATGGGAGGTATCTTCTGTGATGGTCTGGGCTATGCACATAACGTTCTGTAGTTTCTTAAGGCTCTGGGCACAGCAGTTGCTGTAACAGGCTGTTATGTACCCAGAGAGAATGCTTTCCATTGTGCATCTGTAGAAGTTGGTGAGGGTCCTTACGGACATGCTGAATTTCCTAAGCCACCTGAAGAAGAGGAGGTGTTGTTGTGCCTTCTTAACCATCACACCTACGTGGGAGGCCCAGGACAAATAGTTGGTTATCGTCACTCCTAGGAACTTGACACTCCCGACCTTCTCCATCTCAGCTCCGTTGATGTAGTTGGGGGAGGGGGTCCTCCTCCTTTCTTCCTGAAGTCAATGATTTCTTCTGTTTTGCCAATACTGAGCGAGAGACTGTTGTCACTGCACCACGACACTAAGTCCTCTATCATTTGTATGGTGTGATGAGACTCTCACCAGTAAGTGGCACAAAGCCCATTTCCTAGTGTTTACACTTCACCATGATCGATTATCTCCTCACCTACATGGAGTTTTTACACAACTAGCAGGTTGTGTGAAAGAAACAAGTAGGTGTCTATTCCTGACATGCAAGTCAGAGCAGGTACACAGTGTCTCCAGCTCACTGCTTGCTCCTCCAGGCCTCCCCACGTTAGGGCATGCTCCATGGGTAGCAACCACCTGCAACACCTCGCTGTCCACGGAGAGTGGCACTGGACACACACCAGCCATATCATGCTATCATGGCTGATCTCCAACCCATTGAGAATACAGTTCTCCACTTCCATACTGAATCCCAAAAGTCAGGCGTCTATGCAACCCTAAAATTTCTTCTCGAGTTCTGACTGCGGAGTTATCCAACTGTTCATCATCTCTCACAAAGCCCCAAATTAATTATGCACCTACTGACTCAGAATTTCTTCCTGAGTTTTGACTAGAAAGAGCTGGTGCCATAAACCATCTACTAAACATTACAGCTTCACGTAGAGCCCACCTCTGTCTTAGCCTGTCTGCTTTGACAAGTGACTGTGACTCTGCAACTGTTCTTCAGTGAGCCCAGGTGCTGTGACTTAATGAAAACCTTGCAACCTGCCCGGCCCTTATTGCAAGGCTGAACCAAATGCAGTGACCAGTAGTAAGACATGAATGTAGCAACTCCTTGGAACGATCTGTTCTCTGAATGTTACAATGCTAACTTAGTGCTGGCTCTGGCTGCACAAACTGCATACAAGAAAATGGGATTTATCACATAACACACTTCATCTCCTAGGTTACCATGAAATCTTTTGTTCAAACTGTAAACTCATGTACTTTCGGTAAAAAATTATTAATGACCTTCACTTTGTTGTGCAGTGTTTCAGCATTTCTAAACTACACTGTTTTGCTTTCAATTTTTGGTAGCCTTCTCACTGAGTATTGGCAGGTTATTTAACAGCATGGTTCCAATTCTGGTCCTGCTTTCATCCAACAAAGACATATGGAGAGCCATGAAAAACAGGAGTCAATACATACTAATAATTCAAAGAAGCAGAGCCCTGCTTAATTTACTTTATTTGCTTGCTAACCCAGGAGTACTGCCAACAGTTGCAGGAACCCCAATGAGTTGCTTTGGTCCAGTTTGGCTCAAGGTATTGGGATTATACCCGAGGTCTTCCGGCCTGAGTACCTGAGGAGATCAGGTGGGTCACATACCCACCAAATTTAAACCGAGATATTAAGTTGTCGTATGGATTCCTCACATCAACACCAACCAATTAGTCTTCCTACTAATAGTAAAATTAGAAAGCAGTAGAGAAACTCAACAGGTTTGGTAGTATCTGTGGAGAGAGAAACAAAGTTAATGTTTCCAGTCCAATACGACTTCTTTGGTTTTGAGATAGCGTTATATTGGACTCAAAACATTAACTCTGTTTCTTTCACCACAGATACTGCCAAACCTGCAGAGTTTCTCCAGCACACTCTAATGTTACTTCAGATCTTCAGCATTCACAATAACCTGTGTTTATTTCAGTAACTGCATCAATTGCCCAATGAGCTCTTCGGCTTAGATTAGCTCACTCTGTATTGCCTTGGGAGATCCTCGGTTTGCATTTCACGGTTGTGACAGGACTGGAAAAACTCAAAAGTTTTACTTGACATGGTTCCTTCTATCAATATTGAACAAGGGATAACATGCAGTGCTCATAATATCATAAAATATATGGGTCTATCCCACATCTAAAAATGCTTACCAGATAGCAAGAATAACAGCAAGCTCCTCTGCACATAGGTCTGGCACATTCTGCTCCTTAGGGTCTGCTAGTTTAATCGAGTTCAGTAAAGTGTCATCACTCAGTTCAAGGTTCTGTTGGCAAGAATAATGACATTGCATCACCAAGTTGTTTGTTGTACCTTTTTTTATAATATTCATCTGTTCCATTTTAGCATCTGGAGAGGATTATGATACAAAAAGTAGCACTTAAGTAACCCATTTAACATCATAAAACATCCCAATACACGTAATAGGAGCATTATATAACAAGTCTGACAGTATGTAACATAAGGAACACTTAGAGTAGGTCCAAAATGTATGGGGTTTTATATAATCCCAGTAAGTCTAACAAGATATCACCAGCAAGTGCAATGCAACTGTCAATACCATTAGGAAACTTTTTCATTTGCTTCTCTAATGGAGCATTTGAGGAGAGAAGGGGTAGGTATTTTTAGAATCTCAATGGTCTGCCAAGGTTACTTTTTTGCTTCCAATTAATGCAACAATCACATCAGTACCTAGATTGAGCGACCAGTAATTTAAATACCTTCAGGTCAGGACCACCCTGATAGCGTCCTTGGCAAATTCCTCCCTGATCTCCTTTCAGCTCATTCTATTCTGTCTTGAGAACAGACACTTCATATCCTACTTTTACAAAACTGAGTAGTTAAAAATGTTTAGGTTAGCATGTCTTGTGACCCGGGTGGTGATGACGCTCTAACTTATAAAACCACATGTCTGGGGCACTGTGCAATATTGCTGCTTGCTCTGGCATCATCATCTGGAACCCAACCGCTTGAACACAATCAACTGAAAACCTACAAATTCCCCAATATTTTGAGGCCATTTATCTTCTCTCCCACTCCCTGAGCCTTTGCATCAGTCCTGCAACCTTTCAAAACTTCCCCCATACGCAACTCCAAGTGGGAACTCTAGTCAATAATTCTATTCCACAATTTTGAGGAGGTGATGTCAGTTATAACACTTTCACTGTGTTGCAAATATCAGAAAGGAGACCATAACAGGGATCTTTCTGTTCGATGTGGGTCAAAGGTAGTTCTATTCCTAAGTTTTTATTAGATGCTTATTTCTACTTTAGGCTTGCCTAATCTAGCATACCATTACCAAATCCCCCCACAGTTACATATTTGATATTCCTAGGCTTGACTATTCCAATGTTCTCTTGGCTGATTTCCCATCTGCAATCCTACACAAACTTGCTCTAATTCAAGTTCATGCAAGAACTTGCTCTAATTCAAGTTCAACTACACAGATTAGAACCCAATCTCACAGTAGCTCAATTTTAAATTCCAATCATATCGTGTAAATCTATTTTCCATGTTCTTGCCCCACCTTATCACTGTAAATTCTTCCCGGCCAGAAAGCCTTCATGATAACGGTGTTTCGCCAATTCTGCCTTAGTTCACATCCCCAATTTTAACCACCCCACCAATGGCTGGTGTTTACTGAGATCTTTGTTTAAACTTCTCTGTCTCTTTACCTTCCCCTTCCCCTTCTAAAACTTAGCCCTCTGACCATTTTAGTTAGCGATCAGCCCATATAGCTTCCTTTTTGGCTCACTCTTAAAAAGTGTGCACTGATACTCTTCTCGTTAAGCATCTTGGTACATTTTTCTAGGTTAAAGATGCTATGTAAATGTAAGTTCTTCTTGTCTGCCTTCTTCCCCAATTCCATTGTACTCTTCAATAAATCAGAGAGGTTTTTGTACATCCATGGAAAGGAATTTTTCACTTCACATTGGACTTGACTACATTTCTCTCTCTTTTTTGCTCAATGCTACCAAATACATTAGCAACAAATAAATTATTTGTAACTGTAAATGTTGATTACAGTCTCTATTTATCAACCAGGAGTCAACCTTTCTTACAATCTTTTAGATTGCTGCTTGGAGCACTTGAAACTGTTGCGACTTTTTCAAAAATAAGATTTGAAAAAACCCATAAAATTAGAAAAATGTCTGAAGTACAGTAACGTGAAAATCAGATCGCTGTAAAATCTACCTTGGCGTGTTTTTGTCCCACTTTTCTCCTATTCATTTCCACGGTGTTCTGTTTAATGAGGGTCTCTAAACATAAATTCCAGACACATTACATGGAATAAATGTTTTTTAAAGCAAGAACTGGTGTATAGCCACTGGCTGTTCTCCAGTGATCACACATCATGCAAGGCAATAGGGTACAATCAACTCCTGATGTCCAACAATTTAAAGAGTGAATGTGGTAGAAATACAAAACCGATTGTTTTCTTTCAATAAATAACACACCTCCACCTCCACCTCCCCCTCCCACTGTGGACAGATCCATCAGGAGGTCATTTGTTACAAACGTGGCTGGTCACTCATTAGAAGGGCTATGTTAACTTCTTCTATCAGCAACTCTAGGGACACACATTCACTGTGTCACAAACTCAATTCCACCTTACTTAATCTGAGCCATGATTCCATTGTGAGGCAACATCCAACAAAATTTAAGATGTGCGCTCCAGATTTACTTTGCAATCCTTTAAAGACATTTTTTTCTAACTGTTACCAAAGAAGTTAATCAAGATCAACCACTCTTCATTACTTATTAACCAGCATCATATTTCTAAACATCAAGCACCGAAAAATGGAGGTTACCAAGTCGAGGAGGCTGGCAACAGTTAAGGCTACTTTTTTTTGCAAAGTTGCTCAGTTATTTCCACAATTAAAGTTATTAGAACAGGCTAGGATGTTACAGGAATTATGGAATAAAAAAAGGGAACATTCCTTGCTGCTGTTGCTAATTTACATTGTTCCAAATGATGTAATTGCAGACAAGTGGCTAAATAACAGGAACTCAAACTGTAAGGATATATGCTAATGCATTGTGTTCAGCTTGGCATAGCAACATTGTGCATTCCTATGATTCTCCTGCTGAGGGGCCTCCAAATGGACAGCTTTTTAGCAAGCACCTAACATGCCTTGGATTGAATTTGCTACTTGTCAACAATGCAGTGAAAACTCTTAGACATGCAGAACAAGTTCCTATAAGTTGCTTTCTGAGGCTCTTTCATGGAGGAGAAAGGAATAAGCTCACCAGCACAATGTTTAAGACACCAGAAAGATCTAACATCTACTGTTCTGCTCATGCCAATACTACAGCAATACACTTTTCTCTGGGCTCCAAGAATTCTTGAAGGCGGAGACTGTCAGGAAATTTGTGATGCATTACACAGAAGGTTCCACAACGACTATAGGCCACATCTGTAAAATAGACTGGAACCTTCCAGCTGCTTTGTAAAGTTTCAAGGGCTCCAATGAAAAAAATAACAAATGTGAATATTTAAGGGAGTCTCAGGATAATTTTAACCCTCACTGGCCAGCGAACATCAGACAGGTAGATGTTTAAATTCACTCATGGGACACAGCTACCAAACTCTTCAGGTTACAACTATAGGAGATGGCAATCCACCGGAAAACACGCTTAAGTGCAAATCAGGCTTTAATTACAGAAGTAGAACCAGACAGCTATCTTAACCAGAGTTCTGCATGGAGAAACCATTGCTGCTTTTCTTCTGGACAGCGACAGCAAGAGGAGCAACTGGACACAAAAATGTTTGAAAATATGTCATTTTAGTCTACTTCCCCAACTATTATGTATTGCCTGTATCATTCTAGTCCACCGACATTGAGAATAGTTCTGTCTCCTAATACCACAAGCCTGTCAAATCTGCCGTTATTAATCCTTTAAAGATACCGCCTTTGGCCCCTCTCTCCTTGAAAACTTTAGGCCCACCTGCAGCCTCTCTCACCTCTCCAAATTAATTGCAAGTGTTATTGCTTCCTAATTCTACAGCCATCTTTTCTGACACCCTAAGTTGGACTTATGTCCATGCCACAGCAGTGAAATAGCTCTGACCAAAGTCACAAATAATATTCTCTGTGACTGTGACCGTGACCATGATACCCCTACTTGTGTGTCTCGATCCACCCACCAACCTTTCACATGTCATCAACACCATTCTCTTCACACAGCCTTTCTGTTTCCAGTTAGATGGGACTGCCTCAGATGCTTCCACTTTTATCTCTCCAATCAGAACCAGAAAATTCCATCATGGAATGTAGAAATTCAAAAAGGCAGCTCACAACCAGCTCCTCCAGGGCAATGGAGGATAGGCAATGACTTCATTGACTAGGTTTATAATTGCTTACCTTAATTTCTTCTTCCATGACTTGGTGTCAATTCTTTTCTGATTACACTCCTGTGAAGTGTCTTAGCTCATTTTGCTACATTAAAGGAGTTACAGAAATGCAGTCACAAGGCCCTCGCAATAACCCACTGCACCAAGAACAACATGTTCAGCTCCTTGTCTCCTTTAACATGATGTTCCTGCCCTCAGAACACATACTGAGCCCAGTGACCAGTTTTGGCAGTCAGTACAGTGGCAATGTTACTGGACTAGTAATCCAGAGGCCTGGACTAATATTTCCATAGAACAGTCCAAATCACCCCACAGCAGTCAGGGGAATTTAAATTCAATTAAGCAATAAATCTGGAATAAAGATCTAGTCTCATTAAATGATGATCATTTTTTCAACAGTGTTCAAAAAATTCTAATAATAGTCAGGGGAGGATGTGTCATCGTTATCTGGCCTAGGCTACACACGACTGCAGGTTCTCAGCAATGTTACTGACTTTTAACTTCCCTTTGATTTAGCCAATCATGCTACTCGGTTGTATCAAATTACTGCAGAAAAAAAACATTGTTGGTGTACCTACATCAAAGGGACAGCAGTTGTTCAGGAAGTCAATTCATCATCTGCCTTCTTAAGGATGAGCATTAAATGCTGGTTTTGTCTATAACACTTGCATCCTAAAAACAAATTTTTAAGAAAGAAACAGACAATGCAGAAGGTGGTCTGTTTCTCAAGTGGTTACCCATTTTAACTTTCACCTATTCAACGACACCCTTCCCATGTTAAAATAGGGTTTCAACACTGAGATCAATGTTCATTATTACCAACCTTAAGCTAGACATGATTCTGTCTTACTTATAAGTCATAGCAACAAGTCGAAGAACCACTTCAATTTTAAGTACAATTCTATGCGAGTTACCTTGGGAAGATTTTCCAAGGGCGTTGGTGTTAACATGAGATCTGTTTGATGGAGGGCACCATCTTCCTGCTGGACATCCAAGATAAGCTGAGCTAAATAGTCTTCTTGGAATCGTGTACGCTTCCCCAAGGCACCTTAAAGAAATGCAAATCCATATCTACATCACTAAATGAGAAGAACTGAAAGAAGTGCTAAAGGATGGGGAGTGGACGGTAAGTGAAAAACTTAACTCCAGTCACTGAAAATGAAACAGAATACAAAATTAATCAAGAAAGTCAAGAATAAAACTGAATGAGCTCCATACTCTCAATTAAAGGATGTACACGTTATAGCCATGTTCATTACTCTTTGTTTAAATCAAGCTCATAACTATGAAAGCAAAACTAGTGTCCTCTACATTAAAATCCTAATCTTATGAACTAAGATCCCTTCAACAGCACCTTAGATAATTTTTTTTTCTTCTTACCAAAATGGAAAACTGCATGTTTTCCCTCATTATGTTCTATTTGACAGAAAACCGTCTACTCACTTAACAACCACCCTCTCTTTTCTTATGTGGACTCATGATGTCCCCTTCAGAACTTAATTTCCTACCTACCTTGTGATGTCAGCAAATTAAGTAACCACACCTTTAGTCACTTCATCCACATCTTTTATATAAATTGCAAAAGGTTGAGGAAAAAGCACTCACCCCTGTGGCACACCATTTGTTACATCTTGCCAACCAGAAAAAGAAAAAGAGCTTATGCCTACAATTTCCTGTCAACTAGCTGATTTTCTATCCATGTCAATCTTACCCCAAGCCATGAGCTTTTATTTTCTGCAGTAACCTTTGATGTGGCATCTTATCAAATGCCTTCATTAAATCTAAATACTGTACATCCAATGGTTCTCGAGGTCAGATTAGCATCAGCATTAAAATGGAATCACTCAGAAATTCAGCAGAGGATGAACTAATTAAGTTTCAAACTCTAACACCTACAATTCACTTCCACTAGAAGGCACCCTCTGAAAACGACTGGAAGATAAAAAGGAGAACACAAAAAATGAACAATGCAGTTAGAGGTGCAGCACAGTTACAGTATTTTTCATCTGGGCAGTCCAGACAATACTAGATATGTTACTGGGGCACAGCAGTTGACTTCACCATAGTTTCTCAGTGGACAAGAGTCATGGATAGTGACTGCAAGTGGAAAGACCTTACTGTAGTGTAGTGAGGCCAATAACATTATTCAAAAGTACATAATCTTGCCACTTTAACCTGTAACAGATTCATTGTAGTGAAAGCTTATAGCTCCCTACTTTCATAATTTTTAACAACAAAATGAAATGCTTGGAGAAGCCCACTAGTTATTTTCAAAGGTTTTTTTAAATATACATTTTAGAAAACAGCTATCTTGGCAAGATTTCAGTCTCTAGACAATAGTAGCTAAAGCCTGGGAACGAAATAAAAAAACTACTGAAATGTACGATGCGAGAGTCTGACCTACCTGTCATGGTGGTAGAAAGTTTTGCCATTTTCTGGGCTCTGTCGAAATTCTCTTTGGCCTTCTGGTATTCGTAGTAATATAGCAAAGCATAGCCACATTCCAGATGGAACTGGATTGCTAAATTTCTGCAATCCCCAGAATTGAAGAATGCCTTGTTTGTAAGCACTGGGAATACATCAAAGATATAACAAAATGTTGAGTAACTTCTGCTCCAGAAAGATGCCTAAAATAGTGCACTGGATAACCAGAGGGATTACTTTCGTCATTTCTCAGGTAACTCAGTGCAAAACTGAGACTGTGAGGCTAAAGTGAAAGGTTTATAGTGGTTTTAGTCATATCATGTTAACTTGCCATTTTTCTTTAGCATGGACATTCTTTCATATTCTTACTTCCTATGTAATGATCGAGTTTTTTTTCCAATCACTCAAATTGACTCTGTGGAGAAGGACGTTCATACCTCAATACTGTATAAAGATTTCTCGTAACTATTTTCGCTTGAATTCTAAGTCGAGATACCTCTTGTTCTACATTTCCCTACCAAAGATAAGTCAGTACACATCCATCTTGCAAACTTCTTTCATGATTTCAAGGACAGAACTTTTGTCCACACAGCACTCCTCAATGGTGTACTTAAGTTTCAACCTACATTATTTGCATTGACCTGGAAGAGGTACCAAAACCCGCAACCATCTGATCGGCAAGCAAAGATATTATCAACTGAACGAAGCTAATGTTCTGGTCAATGGGGACAGTCTTGACTGCAGTACTAGTTGCATTCTCTGATGCATTATCATTATGTTTTAACACACCAGAGATCTGCTTTTACCTGACCTAGGGGAATGCCTTCAATCGCTCCTTCCTCCTTCATCTTTGTGACATATCAGTATTGGATTATGTGCCTTATTGCACTGTCATTACTGAGTAATCTTCAATCATTATTAAAAAGATAGATAAAACACAAGATATAGATCTTTTCATTCTTCCACCAATGAGAGGTAATGTCTTCCCTAATCTGTTATACACAGGATTACAAATTCATTGTATAAAATGCACAGAAAAAATGTTCACCTCGGTCTCATCTTCAGAATAGTAGTCCCTAAATCTCTAACATCTATACCAATTATCAGTATGACATCTGAAGAGGTAATGTTATGTAGTCGGCAGCTTTGTGTTGTTGGGTGCATGTCAGTTATCACTTTGGCTCAGAATGTTACAAAGTACTAGTCTTGGAAATTGTTTTGCTAACTGCAGCACAGTTGCTTGACGAACATGAAGAAAATATTTCATCCTTCCTATTATTTCTCAGGGACCAAAACAAAAGATGTTGAATAGTTAAGTTTGTTTATTTTCTTAACACCTTTTTGGTTGGATGAGACATTTGACAAAACAAAGACATTATATAGAGATCCTGTCAACATGCTTGGATGAATAATTGGGAGGTGCAATTCAGTTGATATTTTTAAAAGGACAGAATTAACTCATCTAAAAGACTTTCATCTTGTCATTATTTGCTGAAAGCCTAATAATTCTTGAATAAAGATAAAATACTGAAGATGCTGTAAATCTGAAACAAACACCGGGAATGCTGGAGAATCTCGGGACAGTCTAGTAGCAGCTGTGGAGACAGAAACAGCACTAACTTTACTAGTCCAAAGAGTCATACTGGACTTGAAATGTTAACTCTGTTTCTTTCTCCATGGATGCTGCCAGATGTGATTTTCACCAGCATTCTCTGTGTTTGTTTCTGACAATTTATTGTCTGTGCAGTAAATGTTTTCAAGTGACAGAATACTAGCATTTCAACCATAGAATCATAATCAGGCCTTCTGTTGGGTTTTAAGTTTAACATTTTCAGATCTATGTTCCATATTCTGTATAACGTTGCCAAATGAATTAGCCTTTTTCAATTATTAGGAAATATGTGTGACTTTATAATATCTATCACCTTTCCAAGCATTCTATAATTAAGTACTTTGAATTTCAGCCATGGCTTAGTGAATTGTGCTCTTGAGTGTCATCAGGAGGGTGTGGGTTTATCTTCCTTTCCATAGATTTGAACATGTAATTGAGGTTGATACGCCAGTGCAGTACTCCAGTGATTTTGTTTTTCAGGTGAGAGATCTGACATCAAACAAGGGCCTACCTACTCTCTCAGGTAGTTGTCAAGATTCCGCGACACAATTTCAAATAACAACATTGGAGACCTCCCAAATATCTAGGCCAATATTTATCCCTCCATTAACATCACGCAAAACAAACTCATTGCTATTCATGAAAGCTTGCTGTCTGCAAAATGGCCAATTGGTTTTCTACATTACAACAGGGATTACAATCCAAAAGTGTTTCATTGGCTGTGGAGTGTCTAAAGCATTTTGAAGTCATGAAGAATGCTACATTAATACAAATCTGTCTTTTTTTTTGGAAGTGTAATAACTATTGCTGAGAAAGAAGGCATAGACTGCAACAATATTTAGCCCCACATATATGAACTGATCAGTGATTTCAATTAACATGTAATTGAATCTTTCCCAGAACTTGCACAAAATAACCTATTTAAACGTACTGCTGTTTACATCACTTCTTCCATCCCCTTAACTCAGAATGGCACCTGGTCAATTTACAATAAGTAAACAAAGTCTGATTATCCTAAAATATGTTACATATACAAAACTATACAACACAGAAACATATTTTAAAAGAAGTTTGTTCTCACACCATTTTTACATATCATTTCTACATGATGAATAATTTCATTAAGCACATATCTTTTCATCCGTAAAGAAGATCACCTGTCAAGTCAAATCACTTCAGTTTTTGGGTTGGATATCCTCATAATATTCAAAACAATTTCTCTGGATTACACAAATGTAATTATGCAACCTCTGAAGTTTGCAGATAGAACATCATCAGGGAACTGATAGAAAAAGCAGGCATGAAGCAGGACTCTATGGAGTGAGGTGTGAGGATGGATAAAAAGGAAGGATTTGTGTGACCATAGTGAATAAATATTCATCAGGCCTTTCTGATAAACTGCACAAAAATGTGCTCATTAAACCTTCCAACGCAATGTTGTAAAAGGTATTAACAGGAGCAAACAATTAGAAATGCACTCATAAGGAGCAGGGGGCGAGACAGAAAAATCAAACTGGGCTGCCATTTCCAAGCAACAGTTGGTACCCTTTTGTCAATGTAATATTTATACAATGACGACACCACAAAAACTTTCCATTACAACAAACACTAATTGCTGAAGTGATGCTATTAAAGGAAAGGACGAACTCAAGAGAACAACCAGGCCTTGACATGCACTGCCCTTTCAAGTAAGGTGTTGCCCTTTGAGAAAAATGTCTCTCAAAAAGAAAACTACTGAAGTAGCAAAAAGAATATCAGTGCATCATCAGCAATTGTGCTTTTGCATACAACGGTGTTTTTAACATATAAGCAAAATACATATCCGTTGCAAGGAGCTCATTAAACTCTGGTACAATCTGAAATCTGGAATGTCCTCCTGGCACACTCTTAAAATGCTAAACATGCTTTTCAGCAAAAATATCAGCAGCTTTCAGGAAGCAACCTTGGCAAATCTCTTGCTTCAGCTCCAAACAAAAAGTAATAAGTAACTAAACTGATCACGCTATTATATTTACGTACTGTATAGGATGGAATATAAAATGCATTCCACTAACCCCTTGACTCTTCACACAAATTGAAATGCACTGAGCTGGGAACTTTCCATAAAGATTAATTCATGGGTTGAGAAAATACTAATCCTTGACAAAGAAGTTTGCTCAGTAACAAAGAGAGAATAAAAGAGTGGCAAACAGTGCTTTATTTAAGTGACAGATATCAGAATCGCTCCAGTTCAGAAGCAGAAAATCTTTCCAGTACGCCTAATACCCTAGAAGACAGGGTGAGATAAAGGTCCTTCAGCAAACTTGATCTCATTCCTTACAGAATAACAACTTTCAAATCTTCCCACGCAGCTTCTTGGGTCTGAGGAATGGAGCTTGCACCACTCCCTCAGTAGTACAAAGGATCATTAGCCCAAATAAACCACTCTGGTCCTGCCATGGAACCTGAACGTTCTGACAGAATCATATGTGCTCCCAGTACAATCAGGTTCTCATCTGTAATGCTCCTACTGTTAAACAGCAAATCAGACTGTTACAGGTCAGGAAAGTTTTGCTTTGTCGTCTGTTCAGGCCAAGCAAAGTTTTTTTTCCAAAGGGCCAGAACTCAGCATGTCTACAGAGTTTGCTTCTGAAAAGTCATCTGATATAGAGGTCTTTTCAAGTTCTTGAACATACGGATAATGGATGCCCAACCTGTGATGCAATTCATGGTTTTTGCCTGGTGGGGTGGGGAGGAAGTTTATAACAATTTATTCCAAATTCTAGGAGTTTTCTGGCGTAAAATAGCAATTACATAAATAGCACAGAAACAGGATATTCAGCTCAAGTGGTCTACATCAGTACTTTTGTTCCACACAAGCCTCCTCCCACTGCACTGTATCTAATCTACTCAACATAGACTTCTGTTCCTTTCACCCTCATATACATATCTTGCTTTCACTTAAAGCCACTGAAACTATTCACTTGAATTACTTCATAAGGTAGAAACTTCTTTATTCTAATAACTCTCAATGTAAAGATGTCTCTGCAGAATTCTTTAAGGATTCATTATTTATTTTACACTTATAGGCCCTAGCTTTGGACATCTCCAAATGTACTTATCAAAGCCCTTTGTGAAGTTAAAGATTTTAGATGACCTGTCAACCCTCTCTTCTCTGGAGGAAAAAAGACACCTTCTGGTTGTCATGGTTATAAACTCAGTTATGATATCATGTCTGTCATTATTTTGTGCACTTTTATATCCTTGTTGAAATATAGATCTCAGAACTGTTCACAATACCCAGTACATGTTTAACATAACTTCCCTGCTTTTCATTTTATTTCTTTTAGAAATGAACCCCAGGGCATCTTTGGAGCATTTTTATAGACTTGTTAACTTGCACTGCTACTTTTAATGTTTCATGAATGTGTTTTCCAAGATCCCTTTGCTCCTCCAACTCAATTAGACTTTTATTTTGTGGTCTCCTGCTCCTCCTACCGACATGATCACCCTCATCCACACATGTATTGAAATTTCATTTGCCATTAGTTCGCCCATTCTGCATGCTTAATAATGCCTTTTTGTATTTTGCTGCTGCCTTCCTCAGTATTATCTGTTGAGGGGATAATGACAACAGTAGACTGTGACAGAAATTTTACCAGCAATTCAGAACAACTGGCTAGATCAATACAACCAAACAAAAAATTGTTTTAAATCACATAAAAGGAATGATGCATTCCAAGTTTATATTCATGCACCACCACTGCAATATTCTATTCAGCTAATGATGCACAACTTGTACCCGTTATAAAATGAACAGTTCTGCCCATTTTAAAAACATATTTAATTATGCTTTAAGTGTATGAATATACAACAATGGCAATCTATGCAATTACATCTATGTGTTTTATTGGGTTTTGGTACAACGTAACTGAGGAAATCAATGAAACTGTAATTTTATGATTTACTTCTTAATTCAAAGAACTCTCAAGTCTTGTCCCACTTCTAACTGTTCTGTAATGGCATATTTTAAGAAAACTAGATTTCTGAAAGTTGCATAGTAGCAATCACATCTGAATGTGAAATTTAATGGAAATTTAGTATTTTAATTGAATGTGGTCTTCTACTGAAATGTATAATCTATAAAACCTTGCAACTCCTGAATAAAGTCATTTAGTTGTATTTGTTATGGGCCAGACCAACTCCCCTCAACATATATCAAGAAGACAGTCTAGATCCTAACCTTTTCTTATTTTAAAGGTAAGTGTAAGGCATTGTGTTCCAGATGCAATTTGATTGGTCAAACGACTCGACCTTAAGCAAAACACAGACGAAACAAACATAAAACAAAAGAATTGGCTTAACTGTAACCCTATCGAAATGCTTAACATTTAACATTAAGAAGTAATATACATAAACTATTACTAATTAATTGTACCAGTAAAGTAACACCCCATAAACACACCCTTGGCAAAGGCAAATTCAGTAAAATAGATTGTCTCACATGTAATTCTAGCAGCAGGAAGAAAACCCCAGCTTTTAGCTGTAACAACGAGAGGAAAAACAGCTTCCACATCCACCCTCAAGACCCAGCAACTGCAGAAAGCTAAAACTTAAAAATCCTTGTTTGTGGGAGCTTGACCCTTCCTATTCAGGCCACTGTTTGCTTTATTGGCTTTGAGCAGATCGCTCGGCACTTCTGTCTCAACCTTTCTCCATTAAGAAGAGGTCAAATACACCACTTAAAGCCAAAGTATTGTCACATGTTGAAATGTAATGAACTTCATCTCAATGAACAAAGTCAAGAATTTAAAAATTGGTTTTCTTTCCCCATCTGCTGCACATGACATTTACAAATTTTTTTGTAAGATTCTGGAGATGTTGTACCTTCATCAATACAGCCCTGGATAATGATGAAGAGCTGAGGCGAACGCTCTGCCAGTAATTGCTGCTGAATGTGCACACACCGCATTGTCCACCAGGGCAACATCTGCAAAAAAAGAAAGATTTTTTTTCTCCGCCTCTCGACAAAGGAGGTTATATTAAAATTATATAGAAATTGATGCTCGTGGCTTCAGTTCTAACTATCATCAGAAATTCCTCCAGCCTCATGACCCACACTGTGAAAATCTAGTTCTGGCTTCGTCTGCATTCCCAATTTTTATCTGTCCACCATTTAGATTCTAAACCAAACTCTGCCTCCATGCTCACCTTATTTGAGTCAATACTTAAAACACACTTCTTTGACCTAATGTTTATTTTCATGGTTTAGCGTTAAACTTTAAAATGTCTTGAGGGATTTTAAACACATTAAAAAGTGCTTTACAAATGCAAGGTATAGTTGCTACTGCCCATTTGCACTCTGTACACAGTCTGGATTACATCTAAGCGCTGCAGAAACCCTGTTTTATTCCTTCACCACCTTCAGACTAGAGTACTTCAATACTCTCCTCAATGCTCTTTCAAGCTCCACCCAATGCTAATTGCAAATTCTTCTATCCAACCTTAAAACTTATTGCCCCACTTCCCTTGATCTGGTTAACCTCCAATATCTCATCTTCCAATATGCCAATTCAAGAATTCTGTCTTCAATTATGTCATTTCAAAAGCTATCCTTACCAGTGGGACTTCAAGACCTTCATGTCACCATGCATCCTCTGCTCTTCCTATTCAGGCTTCTGCAACTGCCCTGCCATTAGTTTAAAGTTTTCAGCTGTCATGGTCCCACACCTGAAATGCTCAACCTAAGCCTACCTTCAACAGCTAAAAACAAGTCCTTCAACTAAGCTTTATTATATTCCCCTCTAGCTTGTTGCCCTTCGCAACTATACCCAAGCCCTGAAACACCCTAGGCCATTTATTGAAATTAAAGCTTTATCAAGCATAAGTTGTTCTGAATCCCATGCAGTAGCACTTTTCGGAAGTAGCACTTTTGAGACGTTCAGTTATATAGCATAAATGTAAATTGGTGTTCACGCATTCACAATGTGAAATTGAGCCTGAAGGTAGCAATTGCATTCCCATTTACACTTAATGTTGGGGATTAATACTCCTCTCATTGAAGGTATATAGTATCTCCGCCAGGAAATTCCAGGTTACACGTAACAGTCAGGTCTGGAGTAAATGTTCTTACTTTCAAGGCTCGACCTGAAGGAGGACTGCTAATGGCACAGTGAGAGACTTTTCAGTAGCTTTTCTGCATGAGATTGCTGAATTAAAAAGTTTATTTAATGATTTATTTAATATCTCCTCCGACAACCACCTGCAACAATTTTGTTCCCTTTAACATGATAAAGCATTTCAAGGTGTTTCACAGGAACATAATCAAACTATGTAACCCAGAATCACAAAGGGAGAGATCATACGTGTGATCAATACCTCTACCAAATATTTAGATTTTGAGAACCGTCTTCAAGCGTTTATGGAGAGAATTTCAGAGCTGAGGGCCCAATCAGGACCAATGACTAAATCCATGGATGATTAGGATTTCAAAATTGTTTCTCCGTTATCTCAGAGGCTCAAAGCAGTTACAGAAATGGCGAGTGGTAACATTATACAGATTTGAACATGAAGGTCAGAACTTTCTAAAATTCCAAGGCTTGGTTGACCTGGAGTGAATTTACATTAACAAGTAAATGGGTGAATGAATGGAACCAGATTGAAACTGCTGAAATTCATTTTAATTAGAGCTCCTACTGCAAAAGTCAGAGGAATCCTTTGTTCTATCAACCTAGGCTAGATTTAAATCCATGTTGCAGAGGAGAAAAGGACAATGTCTGAACTACTGTGTCACCCAGTTTGTACTTTTCTGGGACAATATCATATAAATTTTAACTTTGTTAAGAAAATGGCATTTAAGCACACTTGCCTTCATTGCTCAATCCTTTGAGTATAAGGATTGGAAGTCATGTTGAGGTTGTACAGGATTTCAGTGAGGCTTTTTCTGGAATACTGTGCCCAGATCTGGTTGCCCAGTTATAGGAAGGATATTTTTAAGCTGGAGAGGGTTCAGAAGAGATTTACCAGGATGTTGCCAGGTACGGAAGGTTTGAGTTATAAAGAGAGACTGAACAGGCTGGGACTTTTTCACTGGAGCACAGGAGGTTAAGAGGTGACCTTATAGAAGTTTATAAAATCATGGGGGGTACAGATAGAGTTTATGGTAGATGTCTTTTCCATTGGATGGGGCAAATTTTTAAGGTGAGAGGATTTAGACTAAAAAGACATGGGGGACACATTTTTTAAACAGAGGGTGGTTCGCGTGTGCAATGAACTTCCTGAGAAAGTGGTGGATGTAGGTACAATTACAACACTTAAAAGACACTTGGATAAGTACATGAATAGGAAGGTTTGGAGTGATATGGGCCAGGAGCAGACAGGTGGGACTAGTTTAGTTTGGGATTATTTTCGGCATGGACTGGTTGGACCGAGGGGTCTGCTTCTGTGCTGCAAGAATATGACTCTAAGTAGCAAGTTGCCTGTACTACTTGAATATTTATTTCTTCGGGAAAGAGAGAGTTGTGGTTATGTGTTAAAGTTAACAGCATTTAGGAAAAATTTTTTTTCAAATCATATTAACATATACATTCATTGTTTTATGCCAATCTTCTTGTTTCAGATGAATCTTTTCAAGGAGCTTTATAATGTAAAAAAAACAAATTCCTTTGAAGGTCTAAGTTATAATGCTGGCAGAGGCACCTTTGCACTGGGTGGCAGCATTCATGGAAATGTGAAATCAGAACTACTTCAGCTCCAGGTGGAGCAATCGCTCCCCCTTCTGGTCATATACTATACAACACAAAAAATATTCTTCAAGAAGGAACATTGATTGAATTGTTCAAATACAATGTCCAAAGTACAATGACAGCTGACAGTCAATTCAAGGCAGTGACTAGAAATTAGATCAAATGTTTCAGACGGCATTGAAAATCAAATTAATTTCTGCCTTCCCCTTGTAATCACTCCAACTTTTAAACAAAAATTTTAAAGGGATGAGGTCATTACCAGCTAGGCCAACTTTATTAGCCATTCTGAATTGCTCAAAGGTGCTGGTAAGTGTCGACCACTTTGCTGTGGGTCTGGAGTCACATGTGGATTAGACCAGGTAAAAATGGCAGATTGCTTTTTCTAAAGGACATTAGTGAACCAGATAGGTTTTTACAACAATCACCAGTGAAAAATTACTTGTCAGCACTTTTTTTTATTGAATTCAAATGTTAGGGTCATTATTATTCAAATCCAGGTTCCCAGAACATCAGCCCTGGGTACTTCTACAGCAACATCACTACTTTGACGCCACTTCCCTTATAAAATTCAACAATTGCAAATTGTCAAGTTGAGTTTGACAAATATGATAATTGTGTCAAAATTGCTACCCTGCCTGGTCTTGGTTACTGCTTATGGGCAATAAGTGCAACCTTACTCATGTTATTTACATCCCAGCTGCTTCCCCTACATTATTTTGCCACACATACTAAGGTTTCCCCAGGAATAAAGCAAAGAACTGTGGTTGCTGGAAAGCTGAAACAAAAACAGAAATTGGAGAAAATCAGCAGGTCTGGCAGCATCTGTGGGGTGAAAGCAGAGTTTACGTTACTGGTCCAGTGACCCTTCTTCAAAACTCCTGAACTCCAACCTTTCCTACATAGATCTCAACCCCTATCTCTCTCTTGCTCCTCTCCCAGCATCACAGTTTACCCTCTGAACTCTCTGTAGTCATCTTGTCCACAAGTGCCCGCTTGATTGGTGCTACATCCACTCCCTCCATCACCAATGCTCAGTAGCATCAGTTTGTGCTATTTACAAGATGCACTGCAGAAATTCACCAAAGATCCACAGATAGCCCCTTCTAAACCCACAACCACTTTCATCTGGAAGGACATGGGCAGCAGACATATGGGAACACCACCAACTGCAAGTTTCCCTCCAAAGCCACTCACTATCTTGACTTGGAAATATATCGCCGCTCCTTCACTGTCGCTGGGTCAAAATCCTGGGATTCCCTCCCTAATGACATTGAGTGTCAACCCACAGCAGGTGGACTGCAAGCGGTTCATGAAGGCAGCTCACCACCACCTTCTCAAGGGCAACTAGGTATAGGCAGCCAGCCCACATTCCACTAGATGAGTAAATAAAAACAAAAAGATCCACCTTCAGCTCTCTTGGGTCTGTTCACACTGAAACACTTATTAAGTTTCTTTTCTGGCCTCTTGTGAGCTGCAAACAATTCCCTCTCCCGAGGTATTCGTTCTGTTTCTTAACACCGTCACCAGCATCCTCTGGAAAGAACCCACCTTTCCTCACTCCCTTGCAAATTCCCACCCCAACTCCAATCTCCGTTTCCTCTCCAAAGTCCTTGAATATATTTGCAGCTTCCAACTCTGCGTTCATCTGTCTAACAGATCCATATGTGAATCTTTTGCAATCAGGGTTCCATCCACCACAAGACAAAAATGACCCAAATCATAGTCAGATGGACATCCTGTAATTTAAAACCAGCTATCCCCTTGAATTTTCTCAACCTCTCTACTTGTCTCTCAGCTCAAAACAAATCATTGGCAATCATGGCATCCTATTCAACTCTGTGTTGAGCTTCTGCCCAAGTACATTTTAGATCTTTCCAATATCTCTGGAATCCCTGAAGGATCAATCCTTACCTGGAGAAGATGAAGCTTCCTCCTGCAGCTCACCAGGATTGACTTGGCCAACACCAGTAGGATTGGGTTAGAGACAAGGCTATAAATTGATTCTCCGTCCAAAACCAGACTGTTCAACAGAGTGGCTCGCAGACTTTGAGGCTAAAATAAAACAAAGATATACCAATCAAATTCCCTTTCACTTCTCATGGTAAAGTTATTGGGTATCAATAAAGGCTCCCTTAGTTGGGAGTTCTTGAGTAAATCTCTACCCCAGGAACTATGTATAGCATTAAAAAAAGTGAAAAAAAGAGAAAGGCACATATACAGTTTTCCAACTGTCCTCAATTAGCAGGCCATAAAGAATAAACTATTACGAAAATCAAATCAGAGTCTATTGCAAGTCTACATTCATGCCTATTCCCCTGAAATTATCATCTCCAACCACAAACCCCGTTCAGATCATTTTAGATTACTCGTGAAAGCCGTTCAGCTACCTCATTCACTCAGAATCAAAACTGGAATCATAACTCCTCACTGGAATAATTCAAAGTCCTGAGTTGGGTCATCTCAGCTTTGTCAGTGGCAGGAATCCAGTGAAAAGTTTTAGCAAGTATGGGTTAAGCAGGGGTAGCTCAGGTGGGCACATCAACCTTCACTTTCTCTATTGAGTCCTGTTTAATAAAACAGCCTGCCCATCTTTGTCCATAATTTTAAAAAAGTTCCTGAGTTATGAGCATCACATTTGCTGTCCATTCCTAATAGTCTTTGAAAAGGTGATAATGAACTGTCTTCTTGAACCACAGCAGCCCATGTGGTGTAGGTACACAGTGCTGTTAGAAAGGGAATTTCAGGATTTTGACATGGCAACAGCCAGGGAACTGTAATGCAGTTCCAAGTCAGGTTTGTGTGAAGTACTTATCATAGAATCCTTGCAGTACGGAAACAGGCCATTCAGTTTAATGAGTGTGCACCGACCCTCTGAAGACCATCCCACCCAGACTCAATCCCCCACCCTATCCCCGTAACCTCACATTTCCCACGACTAATCCACCTAACCTGCACATTCTTGGACACTAGGAAGCAATTTAGCACGGCAATCTACCTAATATGTACATCTTTGGACTGTGGGAGGAAATCAGAGCACCTGGGGGAAACCCACACAGACACGGGCAGAAAACGCAAACTCCACACAGACAATCGCCTGAGGGTGGAATCAAACCTGGGACCCTGGCTCTGCGAGGCAGCAGTGTTAACCACTGAGCCACCGCATTGCCCTTGGAGGGGAACTTTGCCAATGTTGGCGCTCCCATAGTCTGCTGCCCTTATACTTCTAGAAGGTAGAAATGAACTGATTTGGAAGGTGTAGGGGAAAAGAACCTTGATAAGTTGCTGCTGTGCATCTTGTAGCTGACATATTGCAACCACTGTGCACTGGGGTAGAGGAAACGAATATTCAGGCTAATGGTTGGGGTACCAGTCAAGAAGTTTACTTTGCATGGATTGTATCAAGCTTAAGCTGCTGGAACTGCAATATTTATTTTGACTGAATTCTGTGCTTTTAGGGTATGGAATCTGATTGGAAATAGAAAATGTATTCTACTTTGTCTGTACAGATCAGCATCAAGGATTCCCAAATTAGGTATTTTTGTAGGCAAAATTGCAAGAACAATTTGTTTAGCATTTTGTCAAATCCCAGGAAACAAAACTTTCTCTAAAACAAAGCATAAGGGTGCAGCCTGCTGATGCAGCAGCTTGGTGTGCCAATGTGATACATCTCAAGACTGGACAATATGAGCTCAATGTGGCAAACACTCAGCCTGTCAATGTAATCGAGGTGCGAGTGTTTTTGGCCAATTACTTTTTCAAAAGACACATGTTGCTGCCCGTGTCATCACTGGATGGCCCTTTCCTCCCTGACAGCAATTACTATTCCCTCAGCAGCTTCCCACACATCATGGCCAAGATGGGAGACTCTTCAGGCAAATTGCACTTACTATTACCATGTGAACACGATCCTCACTCCAATTCTTGCTCTCAACAAAAACATACACAGACACAGACAATCATTTCACACACCATTCTAAGTGCAAGATATCCAAAGCAGCATTGGTAATGTAAACAGCCAGACATCACTAGCCATGTTTAGTCACTAGTTATACTCCTGGTTAAAGCTAGATTAATAAAAGTAAAATACTGTAGATGGTGGCGATCTAAATCCATCTTAAGCTGACTTGTAAAAAACCCAATGACTCAGCAGAGACCTGTCATGCTTGGTGTGGTTACTAGGCCGTCCAAGTCTAATCCTGATATGCACTGGGACAACTCTGCTAAGGAGAAGTAGGGGGTTGTATGATTAGTTTCAGCACCGCCAAGTGGGGATTGAGGGATGGAAATAAATCTTAGAGGTTCTATGTCCGATCCATTATCCACTGATATCTGTTTAAAAAATCTGCTGTACTGGATGAGGACAGGAATAGGACAAATGTAATGCCTGCAGTCACATGGCTTACTAACAGTGCAACATTTCCAAAACTGATGGATGGGAACTGAGGAGATACAATCAAATGGGAACAGTTATGGGACTGTATTAAAATAATTTGTAATAGCATGAGAAATTAAACAAAGCATAGTGCATAAAAGACAAGGCCTCGAAAAGCTTTCTACGAAGAACACAATTCTAAAAACTGATTAAATATTTTCAATACATTCCTACATTTTTGACAATTCTACTTAAAATTCAACTTCAAACATTCTATACTGCAAAGAATTTTAGTTAACTCATTCATTTAAACTTTTGTTTTATAGGCCTGGAGTTTTACAAAGCATTTGTTTCCATTTCAAATTTACATTCAAAATAAGCTTTTTTTTTCCACATTAGTTTGCAAGGTTTAGCTTTGCTGTATTCCAACACAATCTAGGCAGTATTTACTTTCTGAACGAATGAGTCTAAAACACATTGAACTCTTTCACAGAGTCACGGAATCCCTATAGTATGGAAACAGGCCATTCGGCCCATCGAGTCTCACCAACCCTCAGAAGAGTGTCCTACCCAGACCCGACTACAATGTTGAAATATTTTTTACATGATATTGTGTTGAGACATTTTTTGTTTGTAAGGGGAGAGAAAAAACGGACAGCATATTTTTACGAACTTAAATATTGCTGCAGAAATGTGTGTTTTCTTAATTTATTATTCAATGCTTCATTTATTTTGAGAAGGTTATAATAAAGACCCTGGAGAATTATTTAGTCTTTCATTAATCTGCAATTTTGAGTTCAGCACTGAAACTAAATGACGATGGTTTCAGCATCCAGTACTTAATGATAGATTGTGACAGCAAATAAAGATTCTAATTTTGTAAACTATTATCATCTTTTACCAAAACACACAATATTGCTTATCCCTAAAGACACAGGAACGGGAGAGAGCACATGAATTATTGTAGTTCATTGTAAATAAACAGCAAAATATTCCTAAATCACTGGTATTCTGGATTTGGTTATACAGTTGGTTTTTAAAAATAACAACTACTTATTATAAAACACAGAAGAAGTGCCAACCAGCTGCGTCTAGGAGCAAAAACTTGGACCAGAATTCATTGGGAAGTGAATGATTGTGATAATACAAATCATTTGTTACAATTCACTGAAGTAGTGTGGTAGAAATCAACCCTCATTATTCCCACGGTCATCACAAATTTGAAAATCATCAAAACTTTGATTAAGCCATTGAATTGCCCAATTTTACCTGTCTAACGCAGGTTAAAAGAATGTGCACGTCAAGCAAAAGAACTATTTACTGCAATCAAATGGATTTTAAACGAGTGGCAAGAAAGAAATATGAATTGCTTACTTATAACGTTATAACTTAAATACTATCCTTCTAAAAAAACACACATACACAATGAGACAAATACAGTGATGGGGAAGGAAAGAAAGTCTGAGAAGCAGAGTTTGGGAAAGTAGCTTTGACAAGATGATCGGGCATGACCTAGAATGGCAGAGCAGGTTCAAAGGGCTGAATGGCCAATCCTTCGTCCTATGTTCCCAAATTTGTTTCCATCAATTTCTATTCTCCTAATTCAAAAAAGAAATACATGTTAAAAAATGTTACAGTAGCTTTATATACAGTATTTTTGTAGGCTTGCGTTTGAAGAGAAGACCTAGAATTTTTTTTAAATAAGTCATTCTTTAGAAGTCAACAGTGAAATTTTTTTTTTTTTTTTAAACAAACTTGGCATCTCTTGACAGCCACGTGCCTTCTGGTAACTGCTTGGTTACTGCAGACTCTTTGCCTGGGATTCTGACTGTCTGCTTACAGTTTCAGCTTCTGAGATTGCTCCGATTTTTCAGCTGGTAGCCAGCCTGGATAAGGGAAAGAGGTTCCAAACCCAGCTCCCCTGTTTCAGAAAATCCTGTTGTTCTGGACCCAGTTTGGTACCTGGAACCCTGTTCCAGTCTGAATCCTGATTGTCCACCTGAAAGGCATCCAGAAGAATCTTTGATACTGCATTTTCTGAGCAAGCTGTGTTAGCAAAGATCCCAGAGCTCGTGATCTGCTTGTGTTTGATGACATATATCTAACATACTAGAATGTTAGGCAGATGCCACCAGAACATTCCACATCTTTTGCCTCCAAGAACTGAGATTTATTGGCGAAAAGCAATTTTCTCCCCCAAAGTGAATTGCTGCAGTGAGAAATCTATTTATTCTCCTTTATCGGATATGTGCGGACTTTGGATTATATAGAGGGGTAACCATTTATATTTTCTTATTACAAATTGAATTCACTAAGCAGTTTTGCATCATCACTGAATAAACTTTGTTTATGATAAACGAATAATGTTGTGATTATTAAAGAAACCCGATTGCTGGATCTTTTTTATTTTAAGGCTGGAAGCTTACAATAGGCCATGTCAGGAACCAGATGATATAATTAAATTTATGTTGTAGCCTATCAAGTAATGCGACTCCAAAAAGGCAGTGTACTCCTCCCATCTCGGTCATGACAAACGTAGTATGGAACAACTATTAAGGAAGCACTTGTATTCAAAGACTAAAACATATTTGGAACAATTTATCAGGCAAGAAAAAGAACAGCTTTATCCAGAATCCAATTAGATACATTGGAGAGGAGGAGAGGAGGCTTCAAAAACAACTTCTTATCCTTGGCTTCACTGATGTGCAGAAGTATTTTGACCCTCCCACTCTCACACATAGACAAGGACACTTTGAAGAAAATGAAGAAGCATCCCCTGGTCTCATCTTTCATAGGTTCTAAAATTTCACAGTGGGTTCTGAGCACCAGCCACCACAGCTGCCCTTTCAGCTAAAGGTTCATGTTAATAGAGACCAAAAAAAAGGCGTGGGGAAAACTATTTAAACTAGAGATAAAATAAGTTCTCCATTTTGAAAATTTAGCAGTTGACCATCACTTTTCAGAAACCAATACCTGAAATTTAACTTGAGGAAACTAATCATCAAAGAGAATTAAATACAAGTTTGATGTGGGTGAGAGGTTTGTGTCTGAGGTAGAGAAAACATTCAACAGACTAGAAAGAGTGGGGCAAAGAGGGTCTGAATTTTCAGAGAGGGATAAACATTGATGCTACTTTGCTCACCAAGACACTAACTCACTCAGCCAGGGTAGCTGATAAGACAGGTTTTCCAAATGTAATTAATTAATGCATTCTGATCAAAAGTCCTTAATACAAATCATACTTCCAGTTTCCTCAGAAGAAGCGTGCAAAAATATGTTTGCATGTTTTCCAAATCTACAGACATGACTTCTAAATGAGGTTAGACACAGGATTGTAGCAGCAATAAAACAACAGAGAAGTGCAGCCTACGTCAGATTTTATGGTAAATGGGTGGTCAGTTGCTGCAGGTTTTGATGCAAAGTCAACTTACCTCTCCAAAGTTCCCAATGACTGATGCAGGCAAAATATCTTGTGGCTCTATCTGAACAGGAGGCCCTGTCCAGTTACTCTGCACAAACAGCTGCAAGCTGGCCACACCCAATAAAAATACAACCAGTTGCCTGCAACAAAAGTAAGAAAGTGGTTTAAGCCTGTGGGGGCCAGCTTATAGAATATTTTCATTCCACTATTACTGTGTATTTGAAATGTTCAATCTTAAAAACAAGTTTCTTCTGTTCCCCAAATCCAATGAAAAATTAAGAAATTAATCTTAGCAGGCTTGATTATTACATTCAAACCAGTCCTAGCTAGGTTGCGGCATGGCCAAATACGGAATTTAAATTTATTCCTAAGTGATTGTTTCTGTATACATGGATCCACTGGGAGCTGAGTTGAGACTCCCAAACTCACTTCTATTTTAAACTGGCAAGACAGAAAAGCAGCCACCACAATCAGCAGT